TGGCATTTTGACTAGACCCACTGATATGGATTAGAGTAGATGCAGCTCATGCAGCAAATTGCTCGTCAAAGCGTGCCATTCCGATATGTCCAAATGGACATACATGGTCGAGTGATGTTCATGTAATCCGATTACAACAATCGGTTACGATGATTTTACGAGGACAGTAGTACGAACACGGTAGAAAGAAGAAATTATTTACGGATTGAGAATTGTAATTAACAGCACAAGTAACAAATAAATCAAGAAGTTAGGTCAGTGATCGCAGTAGGTATACGTCTATGTATACGACGCCGCGACGGCACTGGATTTTGTCGTTTAGAAATATCTTTAAAACTAGATAACTGACTTAGCTTAAATGAAAGAAAACGTATTGGCAAAACTACGCATTCTTACATTTATTAAAAATAAAAAGCTTGAGTAGTCTTTATTTTATAAAACTAGGTAAGGTACGTACTAGGATATTTAAAAGAATGAAATTAGGTAGGTATGAATTATTAGTAGTACACTATTTAACACAGAGGAATAACGATCATTACTTTGATATACATTAAGCACAATAAAAATATTATTTGAAAATTTTATTAATAATATAGAATGACGTTTACCGCTACAAAAGTATATCAACCCAAAAGACTAGCTATAAATTTAACAAAATATCAGTTTTATCGGAATTAATTAATTGTCGAATCGAGTCACACGAGATCATTCGATGACTTTGCGATTGCCGTACGATGATACGATTATTTTTACGTTGCGACAATCACTAAAATTCGCTAAAATGACACTAATGACGTTAAAAAAGTGGCACGCTCGTCTTCATACAAATTTTTTGACAAGCTGCATCTATCTATATAGTTCCAAAATACTGGACTGTCCTGTCGATGACATTGACAGTGGGGCGCCACCGTCAATACCGGATCGCTGGTTCAGATTTTTGCCATGTTGGAAACCATATAGTTGAACGATGGTAGCGCCCCCCTGTCATTGAGTTTGGCGGGACAGTTCAGCGTGGGTCATCTATATCTGAGCCCCAATTACGGTAATTTTTAACGTCAACAATCCAGACACGCTTCTCGATTCTGCGATACGATTGGTCGTTCAACAGCGTACGTCAGCTGTTTCGACCAATCGTATCGCAGCGTCGATGAAGCGTGTCTGGATTGTAGACGTTAAAAGTTACCGTAATCGGGGCTCAGTGCTGACAAGACAATCCAAAAAAAAAATTTTGGATTTGTCTTTGGATGTTTAAACCACGATTTTAATGCCTACGATATTTATGGAAGCTTAAAATTCTGACCAATTAAAAATGTTTCTGATACCTTTTTAACTTAAAAAAATCTCGAATTAAGTGACATTTGGTTTGGTTCTAAAAAACCATAGGCAATGAAGTCCTTGTCTCTGTAATGAAGCTTAAAGCCACTTCCACTTTGTTTTCAGAATTCATTTTTCAGGAAATTGAAAAACTCGTCGCGCATTGAAATTTTAATTTAACATACCTTAATGTTTTGTGGATCTGTTAAATTAATACGTAATGGTTCAAAAAGTGTTATGACATCAATTCAATTATATAAATATTTATTACGTCAATGTGAAAAGTTACCGCCTGACGCTTGTAAACATTATAAATTTGCTGTCAGACAGGTGCTCATTTGTTCAACAATTACAGTAAAAACCTTCAATTTTCGTAGCTTTTACCAGTTTTTATCGTTTGCAGAGCTATAAACAGCACAAGTTTGAACCAGACCCAGAGCGAGTAAAAGAGATAATCAGTAAAAGTGTAGAAGATGCAAAGTGGATTGTGAATAAGGTAAGTTTTATTAAAAAATGTATTAATCTTGATTTGTATTTATGTTTGTTGTCGTTGGCACAAAAATGTTTACAAACATTATTTGCTTTTTTCCAGTATACAAAAAAATAATGGATATGATTACGGGCAATATCAACACAAAGCATTATAAATATAATTTTATTCATGATAAACGAATACTGTAGTAAGAATGAGTATGTTTGGAGAAAAGATAGAAGAATATGAAATATTGGAACATCTAGGTAAAGGAGGATTCGCAAATGTATATAGAGCAAGATGTCGACGAACAGGATTGTTTGTGGCCATCAAAATGATAGACAAAGCCCTGATGGCAAGTGCAGGTATGATTGGGAGAGTACGACAAGAAGTCACCATTCATTCTCGCTTGAAACATCCTGCAATTTTAGAGCTATTTACATTTTTTGAAGATGCACATTATGTCTATTTAGTTTTAGAACTAGCACACAATGGTGAATTGGCAAAGCATTTTAAATTAGGAACTCGAGGCCTATCTGAAAAGGCTGCAGCTGATATATTTCGACAAGTCGTAAGTGGTGTGTTATATCTTCATACTCATAACATAATACACAGAGATTTGTCTCTAAACAATCTACTGCTTACCAAAGATCTTAATGTCAAAATTGCTGATTTTGGTTTAGCCACTCAGCTAAATGGCCCAGATGAGAAACATGTCACTATGTGTGGAACTCCAAATTATATATCTCCAGAAGTAGCATCAAGAGAGTTACATGGATTACCTGCAGATGTCTGGGGATTGGGCTGCATGTTATATACACTTTTAGTAGGAAGACCACCATTCCATACTCAGCATGTTAAAACTACTCTAAATAAAGTCATCAATGCAGACTATAAAATACCTCCAGAGCTATCACTGCCAGCTCAAGATTTATTACTAAAACTCTTGTGCAAAGATCCTATTAAAAGAATCACACTTAAGGAAATAATGGAACATCCATTTATAACAAGTTTGTGCTCAAATAATTCAAATGTAACAAAGCAAGATATTTCTAGAGATTCAGGGTTTCTCACCACTCTACATAGCACTCAGCACAGTGGCAAGATAAGGCATGAAGACAGAACTTCATCAGATTATCAATGCTCAAGTGGAAATGTTGAAGATTTAAAGCACAAAGCCTCAAAACTATCTTATAATGTATTTGCTGGAATGCAAGAAAACTGTACACAGTCATCTAATTGTCATAGTTATGATTATAAAATGTGTATGAATAGTGAAAAAGGGTCAGAAATTATTGATTTCCAGGCCCAGTTACAACCCAGTAGTAGTATACTACCCCAAAAAAATGACAATAGTTCTGAACAATATGATATAAAAAAAATGAATATTAACTGTATTACAACTGAAGGGAAAAGAATGATAAACTGTGGAGAAAATAAAGAAAATATCCCTAAAAGTTGCAATTCCACGTCAAATGCAATCGGTGTTCCACCATTATGTGCAGAAAGATTGCCAGTTATTTCACACAGAACTCGTAATGCTATATTAAAGATAGAACCTACTGCAGTTATTGTGGAATTTATAAAAAAGAAAGGGAAAGACAGAGAAGAGAAGGTTGTTGAGATATGCAAAATTACAAAAGATGGAATGAAAATAATAATCTACTCAGTTGATAACATTAAAGAAAAATATATAACACCCTTTGCAGAACATAACCCAAGCCCTGATGAAGTTTTTTCCTATCATAATCTGCCACAGAAACATTGGAAAAAGTATTTATATGCATCTCGATTTGTAGAACTTGTAAAAGCTAAAACCCCTAAAATAACTTTATACTCTTCACTAGCCAAGTGCCAACTTATGGAAAATAATGTGGATATGGAAATATTTTTTTACAATGGAGAAAAGGTTGCATTTGTGTCGACAGAAGGTCTGAAAGTAATTGATAAGAATTCGAAAACTTATCACAACCCATATAATGTCCCAGAATTAAAATATTTGCTAGATCATTATGAAGAGTGTTCAAACCGCATAAAGAGAATACAATCAGCTCTTTCATGTATATCTGATGAATGTTTTCCTTTAATAATTGGTAAAAGGCCTGTGCAAACTTTGAGTAATACTCAAGCTAGTTCTCCATTACAAGGGTCAGTCAATGCTAATTATAATAGTCCTCTTTTTAATGTTGGATCTTTTCATCGAACAGCTGCTAGTTCTAGCCATGCACATAGTGACTTTAATAATATGTTTTAATTCACTCAATGATAACATTCAATTTGAATGTATAAAGTAGCTTTCAATCAACAAGATTTTAAAATCACATAATCACTGAAGATGGGACACATCCATTAATGATCCAGTGTCCAGCTAAAATTGTAAATCCAGTAGGATACCATAAATACCAGGATGCGTATGTATTGTACGAAAAAAATATCGTTGCGACCATGAAGCTAAAGATATCTGTAGCTTCATGGTTGCGACTAAACATTGTATACCTTACCTACCCTAAATATTTGGACAGGCATAGTTTTGTGTCATAGCATAGTAAAGAACATTTTTCTTGTATTAATTATTTTATAATTAGTTCATACAGTTAAGTATAAATATTTTATGATAAATTGACTTGTATCTATTAACTGTAGATAGATAGTTAAATAAAAGTATGTATTAAGAATTTCGGCATTTTCTTTGTTGTCTTATCTGCAAGAAATCAGGAATATTATTTAAGATCCCTGCCACCCAATCATAATAATTTATTTGCGAGTTATACAGGGTGTGTCGTAAATAGTGGTCCAAAGCAAAGGGGTCGTGCGTGCCAGTCGTGCACTGTACACTGAGGTACCACATCACATACCAGTTAAAAAAAATGTTAACAAAGTATTCCAATCATTTTTTAATAAACAAGTTTGTTTCGAAATTCAATACTCACTACACTACTATACTAGCAAATCGGTTGACTTTACCTTTACTTTTTGAATACCCTTTAACGTATTTTTTTAAATACTGGTATGTGGTAGTACCTAAGTGTACATTGTATCGACCCTTTTGCTTTGGACCACTATTTACGCCATACTCTGTATAATCCTAGGCGCAGACCACCGATTTATTGAAGTGCGCAAATTACACCGATTGATTCTTCATACAAATTAGAATCGGGCTTAACTATCGGCCGAATAAAAATCGGTGGCCTGAGTCTAGACAAAGTGCACTTTTTGATCGAATCGAAAATCGAATCCGTCTAAACTCCATACAAAAAAGGCCTTACGACCACTTTCCGACTGGTTTGCGATTATAATGTGCATGCACACTTTCATACACAATTACACCATAATCACTTACGTGTTCATAATATCATACACATTATTTAACAAGCCCATGAAACCAACTTTATTTTCACGTTTATACAAGTTTGAAATCAATCTTTGAAACAAATTATTTTAGCAAAATACGTGGACGATGAAAATTTGTGAGACTTGTCAAATTGACTTGACGTTTAAAATCATGTGTTATCTCCATATTGTCTATGACTTGTCTCTGACACATCAGTGCTNCAATAATCTGTAAATTTAATCGATATTTCTTTAAGTATTCACTTATTCCGATTACCGATTAATTTTAAATAAAAAGTATACGATACTTTGTTAAGTTTTCCAGCGATAACTTCGACAATATTGGAGATAACGTAAAATTATTTTTCTACTTTTAGTGTATACTTTTTCGGAGTCAGTTTAATTTTTAGTCGGTTTTATTTAAACGAAATTATTTTCCTTTTTTATGCAATTATGCTTATAGTTCCAAAATACTGAGCCCCGATTACGGTAATTTTTAACGTCAACAATCCAGACACGCTTCTCGATTCTGCGATACGATTGGTCGTTCAACAGCGTACGTCAGCTGTTTTGACCAATCGTATCGCAGAATCAGAAACGCGTCTGGATTGTAGACGTTATAAAAGTTACCGTAATCGGGGCTCTGGACTGTCCTGTCGATGACATTGATAGTGGGGCGCCACCGTCAATACCGGATCGCTGGTTCAGATTTTTGCCATGTTGGAAACCATATAATTGAACGATGGTAGCGCCCCCCTGTCATTGAGTTTGGCGGGACAGTTCAGCGTGGGTCATCTATACGTATTGTTACATTGCTTATTAATAAAAGAAAAAAAAATCTTCTTTTAATTGATAGCATCTTATTAATTACATCCCTAGCGGAATAGAGCAACAAAGGACTGAGCGAGCTCAGCGAGCTAGATGTCACTAGTAGCAACACTGTCAAACAGAACTTTTTGCAACTATTTGAAGTTTAATAACTTTACGGATATCATTGATTGTTTTACTGTCCACAGTGTGTTTTTTGATTACATCTGTGCATACAGTTTGTTTCCTGTTCTCGAAAATTTCATAATCTGTTCACATTCAATGTTGCGACTTTGTTGCATATTTTTATTATTTTGACGATCACCCGGCGATGATACGCAAGTAGGTAGCTACTACAATAATTTCACTTCGCGATTACCGAGAGGTTTTGTCGCATCACTAGTTCACAGACTAAAAATATTTTTATGTCAGTTGGCCATGTTTGATGACATTTCTGCTGATTTCTAAAAAATTAGACTGTAGGCTTATTGTCTTAGTTCAACGAGGTCGAATGAAAGGGAAGAAAAAAGCCCTAGAAAAGTATGAAACCTAGAAATAAATAATGCTATGATGATCATCTTTCAGCAATACACCCTTATGCGAATATGACTGATCCATCTCACTGGGATTATTAATTATTACATACATTTATATGTATATTGCACGCCATCTGCTTGGCAAATTGTAGCTGAACAATTTTACGTTTAAATTTAAGATCCATCAATGTATGATATGTACCTACAATTGCAATAAACTAATTTGATTTGATTTGATTTGGGATTAATTGAACTCGGGACCCACAGCTTCCGCCTGCTTCCGCTAATCCATCGGGCCATGTCCACCATGTCCCAACTTCCAGAGATCAAGTAAGGCCAGTATGGAGCTCTACTATGATCAAATTGAGTGCTGTCAAAGTAACATCCTAAAAATTAAATTATATATTTCGAACTCTCATTGTGTTCTTATGAACAAATTATTATTTCAGTCATATTTTAATTAATTTAAGGAAGAAATACGACAAAATTCTATACCCGAATACACGCGAGGCGGGCGAGCCTGAACGTTCCTAATTGGACCGCAATAGTTTTGACAAGTAATTCATTTTTATCGTATAGCAACACCAACAGTCCTCCATCTTTTTTGTCACGATGCCTCCCAAGAAGCAGCCAGAGAAATCCGGTATGTTTATCGTATTTTAATTTATTAATTTCATTTTTCACTCGTACTAAGGTGATTTTAAAATCGATTTCTACAGGTTTACTGTTAAATTATAATATACTAGTGGTTCTTTGCGAAAAAGTTGATATCTTGTGTGACATTTTGTTAGCCACGCGGTACGGTGTTTGTACTCAAAATTTGAAATATTTTTCGTATCACAATTAACTTATTACTAGACGACTATGAAAGGCTGTTAGAATAATAGTTTTACATATATTATTCATTAAAATTTGTCGCTATGGAACGGACATTTTTTTTGAGGTTAGATTGTGTATTAACAAGTCTCTTTTTATTTTAGCTTCCGGGGCTAAGCCCGCGGAAAAGAAACCTGCCACTGCTAAAACTCCCGCAGCGGCACCTAAGGCTGCCTCTACCACGAGTGCACCTAAACCAGCATCCGCCAAAACACCCGCACCAGCACCTAAAGCTGCTGCTCCCAAGTCTGCCCCCGCTGCTGCCAAGCCCGCTGCAGCTAAGCCAGCGTCGGCTCCTGCTGCCAAGCCAGCGGAGAAGAAGGCTACTTCAGTACCTACAGCCAAGCCAGGTTCAGCTAAAGCTGCTGCACTCAAGGCCAAGTCAAGTGCGAAACCTTCAGTCAAGAAAGCGGCAGCGGCCTCCAAGCCCGCGAAGCCTAAACCTGCAGCTGCCAAGTTGAAGATAGCACCCAAGCCCAAAAAGACTGGCATCAAAGGACAGAAGAAGGTGGTCAAACCTGTTGTCAAGGCTTTGAAGGCACAGAGGAAGGTAAGTTGATCTTTAAAACTTTTTGTCATAAATACCTCCTATTTCAGTTTAAAATCAAACTTAAGTTGGCCATGAATTACAACAAATGTCCAAACAATTTATAGTACCTACCAAATAAAATTTCACAATTTATCATATTATTATCATCTGGTCAAACAGCCTCTTGATTTTACTTGCTTGTCCCTTTTCACCTTTCACAATATTCACAAGAAGAGTAGGGGATTGGCACAGAATTAGTACCAGTTAAATGATAAGTTTGTTAAAGTTTTTTTTTTTTCATTTCAGGTTGTCAAGGGAGAACATGGCAAGCGTGTGCGTAAAATCCGCACATCAGTGCATTTCCGTCGGCCCAAGACCTTTGAGCCCCCGAGACATCCTAAGTACCCTAGGAAATCATTGCCCAAGAGGAATCGGTATGTTTCACTGATTATATTTTACTAGTTACCGTTTTTGGAATAAGTTAATTTTCAAACCAGTCAAGAAATCTAGCTTAAATTCTCAGTCAGATAATAGTGCTTGAAGGAATTTAGTTGTGACTTGTGAAATAAATACAATGATGTTGACTGATATTATAAACAATTATGTTATAATTATTGCTGCATCAATTCAATTAAAAATATTAAAAACCATAGTTTTAAATATTTTTAATTGAATTTAATTGTTTCATAATAAATTACATTTAAATGATGATAATATTGTGGGAATCTCATTGATAAATAATGATATAAAAATATACACAACTCTGAATTAACAATTTAATATTTTTTACAAAGTAAATGATAAACATAATATTTTAAAATCAATACTTGTCTTTTTCAGTATGGATGCCTACAACATCATAAAGTTCCCATTGACCTCTGAAGCGGCAATGAAGAAAATTGAGGACAACAATACATTGGTATTCATTGTCCACACCAGTTCCAACAAGCACCACATTAAGGCTGCTGTGAAGAAGCTATATGACATCAATGTTGCTAAAGTTAACACCCTGATCAGGTATGTTTTTTTTTACCACCAAAATAAAAACTGTCACAATTTCAGTTTAATTCTGATGGTAGTCTATTACATTTGTTCTCTGACCATTTTTGGCGTGTAATGTGAACACAACATTTAATTTTGATTTAGTTGAGTTTTCAGCTATCAATCATGGACTAATTTACAAGCATTTGTAGGCCATAACATCTAGTAATTAGTTGAGTTAGTTAAAACATTTGAGTTAGTTAAACTTTTGTGATATCTCTGCAGTATCTTGGAATAACTATGCATTATTTAATGTTATTATTGACTTGGTATATTTCTAAACCCTAGTAAAATCAGAATTATATGAAAAATTTTGTGATCATTAATTTTTTTCCTATTTTACAAATTAAATGATGATATTTTTGTGGGAATCTCATTGATAAATAATGATATAAAAATATACACAACTCTGAACTTACTTTTACGGTTATTATAATAAACTCCTCATCATGAACCTTTTTTAATGCTTTTCTTGCATTTTGTTGCAGGCCCGATGGTAAAAAGAAGGCGTACGTACGGCTTGCGAGGGACTACGACGCACTAGATGTCGCCAACAAGATCGGCATCATATAAACTGATGCTTTATTTTATAAGAATAAAAACTATGAAAAAATATACTCGTTTTGTTCAACCAACCATATCGTGGCTTATTACGCTAATCCCCCGTTGACAATCCCCGTCAACAGGGATTGGTGGAATTTTTGTTCATTAATCCCCGTAATGCCAATTGGAGCTTATAATGGGGATTATTGTATTAAAAAGTTATTTAATCCCAATGAGGGTTTTCGCGAATGAAAAATTCGCCAGATGGCAATACGTTGACGCGAGGTCCAATATTAATGCTGCATGATTGGTTATTTTTGACATGACATGTCAAAATCCACCAATCACGCAGCAGTCGGACCCCACATCCACGACCCGCCATCTAGCGGATCTTTCATTCGCGAAAACCCTCATTACGTTAAAAATAAAACACTAAGGCGGTTATCCCACTGCGCCGCGCTCCGCCGCGAAGCGCGTGATTTTCAACCGACTTCAAAAAAGGAGGAGGTTCTCAATTCGACCCGTATGTTTTTTTTTTTTCTATGTTTGTTACGCGATAACTCCGCCAATTATGAACCGATTTGAACAAATCTTTTTTCGGCGTATAGGTAATACCTCAAGGGTGGTCCCATTTTTTAATAATAGAAAACACAACCCCCAAGGGTGGAAAATTGGGGATGAACTTTTTTATACGCAATATCTCCGCCGATTATAAATCAATTTGAACGATTATTTTTTTGTTGAATAGGTATTATCAAAAGGGTGGTTTCATGCGAATTTGTAGAAACTATTTCACCCCCAAGGGTGGAAAATTGGGGATGAACTTTTTTATACGCAATATTTTTAATTTTTAGTTTTTTTTTGTGTTCACGCATTTGAAGTCGGTTTTATTTTTAAAAAAAGTTAATCATAAAAAAAATCACGCGCGCGGACGCGTTGTCAGATAACCGCCTAATATTATAAAGCCTGAGCCCCGATTACAGTAACTTTTAACGTCTACAATCCAGACGCGTTTCTGATTCTGCGATACGATTGGTCAAAACAGCTGACGTACGCTGTTGAACGACCAATCGTATCGCAGAATCGAGAAGCGTGTCTGGATTGTTGACGTTAAAAATTACCGTAATCGGGGCTCTGGTCCGTGAGCACGCTCGCGCGCTCGCGCTCGCACCTCACTGCGGGCGCCCGNGAACGACCAATCGTATCGCAGAATCGAGAAGCGTGTCTGGATTGTTGACGTTAAAAATTACCGTAATCGGGGCTCTGGTCCGTGAGCACGCTCGCGCGCTCGCGCTCGCACCTCACTGCGGGCGCCCGTCGCACAGCACAGTCGCGACAGCAACATAATTACGCGCGAGCGATAGGGATGGGTAGCTTGGGGTCATTCTACGTGAGGTGCTCACGGACCAGGCTTTAGCATAGAACTTAGCACTCATTTAGATCTCCATTCTTTTTGCGGCGAAGCCCACGCCCACAGCCAAGCATAATTTTTGTATGGAACTTGGCTCTCCTTTTTGTTTACATTTGTGTTTTTGGTGGGTTTTATTAACCTCTGAAACTTATTGAACACAAGAGATTACAAAAGGCGATCTTAAAGCCACGGTATTCTCATCCAGTCGACAACCATTTAAACTCCACAGTGTTAAACTGTACGAGGCAGTGGCGTATCCGCGTATCTATACCATCCGAGCCGTGATCCGAGGCCCGTGGCAAATTCTGGGTTTTCTTTCAGGGGGATTAGAATTTTGGGGGCCCGTGGCATTTTGCCAGCCCATAGATACGCCACTGGTACAAAGCCTCTTAAATTCTTTATTTTGTATGGGAATACCAGGCACCACCACTGCTCTCTAGAAGTGTCGTCAAACTGCTGGTACCTAAGTAGGTACCTACGTTTTACCCGCGGGGCACAGCTGTATGTGTAAGCCTACCTAATATCAGAAAGTCCGTAAAGGACGAATGACAAAAAGTAGGTAGGTAACGTGGAGGTATTTTTTCATCAATTGATTGTCGTATTCAATAGGTAGTACCTACTTGAAATAAAATTTAAATTAAATCAGATAATGAAAAGTGTGGGTTACGTAATACCTACTGACGTAGTACCTACCTAGTTTCCATAACGTCCAAAAATCGTTTAATTTTCTCTGTAGGTACCTAATATTTTACTACTTACCTAATTTAAATAGAAATTACTTCTTCAATTAAATTACTAAATTGTCAGACAGCTTACATTTCCGATAAACATTCTATACCTACTTAAAGATCGAAAACAGCTTGTATA